TAAATTCTTTAAAAAGATTATTTTTTTAATTTTATATTGTTTATATTTCATTTTCTTTTCATTTTCAACATTTACTTCATGTGACTCCATGAAATTTTTTGAATTATCTATTTTTTATGTTGTTTTTTTTCTTTATTCTAATTTTTAAATTAAAGTAGAATTTTTTGTTGAGTAAGGTATAGACTTACGTTTTCCTTTTCTTTTAAATCATATTTATGTCTGTTATGTTGAAATTTGACATAAGAGTATTATGTTAAATTTTTTGTTTTGAATTTAGAATTTATGTTATATTTTCAATTTCATTTGTTTTAGTAGTATTGACTTGACACTTCACATTGCTAAGTCATTTATTTTTTAGTTAGACTTGATAGATTATCTTTTTGTCAAATATTTTAATAATTTAGGACATTTTATTTATAATATTAATCTTTTTGTCAAACATGTGTTTCATGATGTTCATAGAAATCATGTACTTTTAATTTTTATGATTATTTCAATTGAAATATACTAATTTAAAATATATATATTAATTATTTTTCATAATATTAGTTAAGAACATATGTTTATTAATTAATATATTTTCAAAAGAGAATAAATATCTTACATATTTAATTAAATATCATTTATAAAGTTTTTTATTTGTCTAAAAGCTTTTGTGCATCCAAAAAGTACATGTGTAATTACTGGGCTATGTAATTACTAGGCTGATAATTACTACCTTAGTAATAACACCAATTCCAATTACCATGTTGCTCTCCAAACAAGCCCTTAAAAGACTTCTGATCTTGGGCGTATTTATATGCCTAATTACTACAAAGTGTCCACCTTTACCTTTAAGTTCGGGGGCATTTTTTGTTCTAATTGTTATGGTTTGATTGATTATTGCGATGATTGCACACTAATATACATGATTAGCCATTTGTAGGGTCTCTAAGAGATGTGTGCGCATAATGAGAGCAAAAGAAACAAGGACGACCAATTTGCGCCAAAGGAAAATCGAGCACATTACCCTAGCCAACCTAGAGCAGGCCAGGTGCAGGGCGTCAAAGCCAAAAGTTGAGAGAACTAGTTGGGTCACACTGTTGGTGAATTGCGCCAGCCCCAAAAGTTCAAAGGCACATTTCTGGCGCACTGCTGGCGCATTGGCCAAGTCCAGGGACAACTTTTCCAGCAAAATTGAGTTGAATTAGGATTCCAAATAGTGTTAGAATTGGGAACTTATTTCTTAAACTCTATAATAGGACCCTAGGGTTATTTTGTAAAAGGTTCAACTTCTTTTTGGTGTGCACGATCAAGGATTAATATTTTGTCCTATGTTTCGATTCTTTACTCTTTCTTTCATTTCGAATTTCATGAACAAAATTGTCTTTGAGTTTATGGAAATTATGAGTGGCTAAAAGCCCTTGTTCAAGGGCTATAGCTACGGGTAATTGTTGACCATCAATAGTTTTGAGTTAATTCTTGGTTATCGCTTAAATTACTTTTGTGTTCTTATTTTAGTATTTCATGACTGGTCATCGAAGAAAAAACCTCTTGTTTATTCTTGGACTCAGGTGACAATAAGGTAGATAGACCAAAGAATACAAAAAACTTAATCTTTCTTTCATATCACTTAATTAGATTTGTGTTTAGGATTGACACCCAGACGAACACTGAGCTTGGTCATGAAACACGATGAAATTTAAATGCTCGCCAATTGGGTCTGTCTATCCCCGCTCAACGACGTAGTCAGACATTTAATTGGAGTAGGCGATTAGAGTTTGGAGACCATGATCATAAAATCAACTCTGTAAATCAATAATTTGATAACCTTAGTTAATTCATTACTTGAAATGTGATACATGAAATCGTATGCATGTTGCAACCCAGGAATTATCTCTTACTTGTTTAAATTATCAAAGTGAAGTTGTTCTTGTTAGTTACTTTAATAATTAAACTGTTCGTAGTAGTAGTAAACAAAAATCACTCTCTTGAAAATACTTCTTTAAAATTGTGGAAATAATTGAGTTAATATAAATTGATCATAAGTCCCTTGGGTTAGAAATCTCGACTCTAAGAGGAACTATATTACTTGGGCGATCCTACATACATTTGTATTTGCATTTGGGAGCAACGACTTCTAAAATAGAAGTCTTTAGCTATAAATAAATGAGATTATATTGAAAACAATAAGATAGTGACATATTTTAAATCAAGTTATTAGATCTAGAAAAATGGTCAATAATACCCTGAATTAGATGACACATTTGCAGACGAATAAGAACATTTTTTTTATTCAATTTAAAAGAATAACCACTCAGAAATCACAAATGGGGTACAAAATTTAATCTATAACTTTTTAAGGTTTTTTTTTCATGCATTTGTTCATGTGTTTATGTCACTGTAACATCTCGCAACTAGAAAGAACTAGAAGGAAGTTTAAAATCTAGAAAATTGCAAGTTAAAAATTGAGTTTTTGGTCAACTTCAATCGGCCATAACTCCTAACTCAGAATGAGTTAAGTGTAGTTCCAGATATGGTTGGAAAGATCTTGGGGCGATCTTTCCAACGGCTCCAAGTTTGCGAGATTCCGAGTTCGTATGAGTGAGTTATCTTCTTTGGAAGTTGGGTTGTTGGATTAAGGAAATGTCCAATCCGGAATTTTAAGGGCTATTTTAGTCTTTTCATTTTCCCTATTATTTTAGTCCATTTTTAGGAGTTTAAAATGGATCAAATTAGATTTTAGTCAGTTTTAGAATTTGGGATTTCACGCTAGGGCAAAGGAGAAAGGAGAAGAGAAAAGAAGGAGAAAAGGGCAAATTCATCAAGATCGATCAAGGAAGTTGATGTTTCGCCAAGGATTTACTTCTATCATGTGTGTGAGGCTCTCATAACGTTGGGATCTTTCTCCCACATGCCAAGCTTATTTATTTAAGTTTGGATTTGTCCTAAAAGCATATGAATATTGATGATCTTCATACCTATTCTTGAATTCATATATTGTTCTTGAATTTGACTGAGTTGGCAAGTTTCTAAGTTCGTTACGTCGCATTATAGGGTCATTTTGAGTTAGGTTCTTAGGTACATTTGATGGGTATTTGTATCTAAAAGTAATCTGGAAAAAACGAACCGAGTTTGAGTGATTTGGGGTTGGAAAACGAAGAAGAAATTTCGCCGGACGAAATTAAGGGGTGACCGCGCGTCACGCTCTTAATTCCCAGATTTGAATATTTCAGCTTCGCGTCGTGGAGCTGACACGAGGTGTTCTTCCTCAAAAGATGTTTTCGGAACCAAAATTTAATTATGCCTCCGCGTCGCGAAGCCACCTTCAAATCTTGAGTTTCGGTATTTTCTCTTGTTTAGTTATCTAAAATCATTCCTAAACAACATGAGATCTTTCCAATCACAAATATTAATTCTTGAATCCATAATTCAATTCAAGGATCAGTTAAGAGCCAAGTCAAGAGCAGTTAAGATCAAAGTCAAGAGAAGTCAACAGTCAAGTAAGAGAAGTTCATTTCAAGCTTTCATAAGTCTTTTACAAACGTTATAACTTTGTTTTAAGACTTAAGTTTTGAGTTTAGTAAAGAGTAATGTTGAAGTTCTTTCCTTCAAAGAAACATATGGGGACTAAGTATTTCCCAAATAGATTAAAAATGTTTCACATTTAAATAAGAGCGGAAACTGAGATTTCCATAGGGCCTTCGGGCTAGTTTTCAGAAAAGAGTAATAGCTTTCTAAATGAAGCAAGCAGGGAAACTGAGATTTCCAAGATAGCCTTTGAGCTACGTTTTTTAGCATTAATCTCAAATCACAGAAGAAGTATGTTTTTAAAACATAAGAGCCAGTATATTTTGGGAGTAGTATTGAGCACCGAATTGGAGACGAGTATGAGTTTAGATAACTCACGTCACCATAGAACCATGTAGTCATCATGGGTAGAAAAGGGTCATACTTTTTGGTTGAATTCTTTTCGCAATAGACTAGTGGATCCATTAGGCAGTTCAGGTTCTATACCTTTGGTCGGGTATAGGATGCGCTGGCAGCGTAAGGTAGATCGTTGTATCATCACTATAGCTCTTATGTGATGGTTGTCGGTTAGAGAGACTCCCACAGAAGTTATTGTATTTTTATATACATTTCAGAGTTATGTTTTATCCTTGTATATACACAGAGTTGACATCATGTTTTTAAACAGCTTTTCTTTAGATTGCACTTGTTTAAACTTTTTAATATTGAAATGGGTTCAGTAAGTATTCATGAGTTGAGAAGAGCCAAGGTAAGTGTTTCTTTCAGATTTCCCTCATAAGCCTATGTTGTTTTAGCATTCCAACTCGCATACTCGTACATTCAATGTACTGATGCCAGTTGGTCTGCATCTTATTATGATGCAGACACATGTAACTAGGATCGGCATTCCGACGCATCGTTGATCCAGTGAGCAGTTCAGAGTCTGTTGGTGAGCCTCATTGTTTTTCGGAGGATCCATTTCATTGCTTTCTAGTTTAGTTTATTAGGATGTTGTGGGGTGTGTCCCAACATCCATCTCAGTTGTTATTACAGGCTTCATAGATAGTCAGATGTTAGTTCTTTAGTCTTATTCATTTTATTTGTATCGTTTAAGACTTAAGTTTGCCTTAAAGGCCAGTTGAATGTTCCTTTATAACATTCTAGTTACTTCATAAATGTGTATGTGATGAGTTAAGTGTTCCGCTGAGTTAGTAAGCCAGGCCAAGGGTTCGCTTGAGGCCAGCAATGGTTTTCGAGTGCCGGCCACGTCCAGGGTGTAGGCTCGGGGTGTGACAAACTTGGTATCAGAGCCCAGAGTTCAAGAGTCCTAGGGAGTCTATGAAGCCGTGTATGTAGAGTCCTATTTATCGGTGTGAAGCGCGCCACATCTATAATTAGGAGGCTGCAATATTTAGGAACTATCTCACTTCTTTCACAATTATTTCATGTGATAAAGTTAATCTCTATAAAAGTTTCCTTCTAATTCGTGCTTGCGCTTGGTTTAGATAATCATGCCTCCACGAAGACCAGTCAGAGGTCATCCTGCTAGACGCAATGTTGATGAACAAGAGTTACCCAATGCACCTGAAGTGCAACCGCAAGGAGAAGTGACAAATGCTAAGTTCCGTGAGGCTATTAGGATGCTCAGTCAAGTTGTGACTAACCAAGCTGGGCACCAGAGAGGAGCTCGACAAGAAGAGGCTGGCACTTCAAGGATTCGTGAGTTCTTGAGGATGAATCCCCTAATTTTCACTGGTTCGAGCACTGCAGAGTATTCAGAGAACTTCATTGAGAAACTGAAAAAGGTTTTTGATATGATGCATGTTACTGATACTGCGAAAATTGAGCTAACTGCATATCAGATGAAAAATGTTGCTAGGACTTGGTTTGATCAGTGGAAAGGGGGTAGAGCTGAGGATGCACCACCTGCGAGTTGGGCATGTTTTGAAGAGGTTTTCTTGGGGCGTTTCTTTCCCCGAGAACTGAAAGAGGCTAAGGTACATGAGTTCCTCACATTTAAGCAGGATTCTCTAAGCGTTCATGAGTATGGGTTGAAGTTCACCCAACTGTCTCGCTATGCTCCGGAAATGGTTGCGGACATGAGGAGTAGGATGAGTTTGTTTGTTGCTGGGTTGTCCCGTCTATCAAGCAAAGAGGGTTGAAGTTCCTCACACTTAAGCAGGATTCTCTAAGCGTTCATGAGTATGGGTTGAAGTTCACCCAACTGTCTCGCTATGCTTCAGAAATGGTTGCGAACATGAGGAGTAGGATGAGTCTATTTGTTGCTGGGTTGTCCCGTCTATCAAGTAAAGAGGGTCGGGCAGCAATGCTTATTGGGGACATGGACATTTCAAGGTTGATGGTTTATGTGCAACAGGTAGAGGAAGAGAAGCTGAGAGATAGAGAGGAGTTCAAGAACAAAAGGGCTAAGACAGGGAACGAGTCCGGGCAGCAGAAGAGCAATGCCAACCGGTCATCTTTCCAACAGAAACAGAAGGGACATGCTCCATCATCAGCTAATGCACCTACTCCTAAGAACAAGGGTGAGTACTATGGTCAGAATTATAGAGCTAAGCCTGCCTATTCTCATAGCAGTATGGCGCAAAGGGGTAGTAAGCCTCCTACCTGCGCCAAGTGTGGTAGGAACCATTCAGGTGTGTGTCATGAGGGATCCACTGGTTGTTTCAAGTGTGGCCAGACTGGGCATTTCATGCGAGAGTGTCCAAAGGGAAAGCAGGGAAATGGTAATGGGGGCAATAGAGCTCATTCTTCTTCAATTGCTCCACCAGACAGAGTTGCACCTAGAGGGGCTACTTCCGATACTGGCGGAGGAACAAACCGCTTATATGCTATCAACAGTCGCCAAGAGCAAAAGGATTCGCCAGATGTTGTCGCTGGTATGATTCAAGTCTTTGACTTTACTATTTATGCCTTGTTAGATCCAGGAGCGAGTTTATCTTTTGTAACTCCTTATGTTGCTATGAACTTTGATGTTATTCCTGAGCAACTTAGTGAACCATTCAGTGTTTCTACACCTGTTGATGAGTCTATTCTAGAAGAGAGAGTATTGTTATTATCCTGTTTTCGTCAATCACAAGAGTACCATGGCTGATCTAGTTGAGTTAGACATGGTAGACTTTGATGTCATTCTTGGTATGGACTAGCTTCATGCCTGTTATGCCTCAGTTGATTGTAGAACTCGAGTAGTCAAGTTTCAATTTCCTAATGAGCCAGTCTTAGAGTGGAAAAGCAGCTCAGCAGTGCCTAAGGGTCGTTTCATTTCGTACCTTAAGGCAAGGAAGTTAGTTTCTAAAGGGTGTGTCTATCACTTAGTCCGAGTTAATGACTCAAGTGTTGAGGTACCTCCTATTCAGTCAGTCCCAGTAGTAAAAGAGTTTCCAGAAGTCTTTCCAGATGATCTTCCTGGAGTCCGTCCAGAGAGAGAGATAGACTTCAGTATAGATCTTATTCCAGATACTTGTCCTATCTCTATTCAGCCATACAGAATGGTACCAGCTGAGTAGAAAGAATTGAAAGAGCAGTTGAAAGATCTTTTAGATAAGGGCTTTATTCGACTAAGTGCCTCACCTTGGGGCTCTCCGGTCTTGTTTGTGAGAAAGAAGGATGGTTCCCTTAGGATGTGTATAGATTCCCATCAATTGAACAAGGTTACCATCAAGAATAAGTATCCTCTTCCAAGGATTGATGATCTTTTCATTCAACTTCAGGGTGCTTCTTGTTTTTCTAAGATAGACCTCAGATCAGGATACCATTAGTTGAAAGTAAGGTAACGTGACATTCCAAAGACAACATTCAGGACCCGTTATGGTCATTATGAGTTTGTGGTCATATCGTTCGGTTTAACCAATGCACCAGTAGCGCTCATGGACCTTATGAATAGAGTCTTCAAACTTTATTTAGATATGTTTGTTATCATCTTCATTGATGACATACTAATCTATTCAAGGAATGAAGAAGATCATGCTAGTCACCTCAGAATAGTTCTTCAGACTTTGAAAGATAAGAAGTTGTATGTCAAGTTCTCTAAGTGTGAGTTTTGGCTTGAGTCTGTGGCATTCTTAGGACATATTGTGTCTGGAGAGGGAATTAAAGTTGATACTCAGAAAATTGAGGCAGTGCAGAATTGGCCTAGATCCACATCTCCAACTGATATTAGGAGTTTCTTGGGTTAAGCTGGCTATTATAGAAGGTTTGTAGAGGGGTTCTCGTCTATCTCATCCCCTTTGACAAAATTGACTCAGAAGACAGTTAAGTTTCAATGGTCTGAAGCTTATAAGAAAGGCTTTCAGGAATTGAAGAAGAGGTTGACTACTGCCCTAGTGTTGACCTTACCAAAAAGTACTCACGATTTCGTGGTGTATTGTGATGCATCTAGAGTTGGCTTGGGTTGTGTCCTAATGCAGAATGGCAAGGTGATAGCTTATGCCTCCAGACAGTTGAAGGTTCATGAGAAGAACTATCCAACCCATGACTTAGAGTTGGCTGTGGTAGTCTTCGCTTTGAAGATTTGGTGTCACTACTTGTATGGTGTTCATGTTGATATATTCATTGATCATAAGAGCCTTCAGTCTATGTTCACCCAGAAAGAGCTTAATCTCAAACAGAGGAGGTGGTTAGAATTACTCGAGGATTATGACATGAGTATTTTTTACCACCCAGGTAAGGCTAATGTGGTTGCTGATGCGTTAAGCAGGTTATCTATGGGTAGTACCGCCCATGTTGAGGAAGAAAAGAGAGAGTTAGCAAAGGATGTGCACAGACTTGCACGCTTGGGAGTCAGACTTATGGATTCCACAAAAGGAGGAATAGTGGTAACGAATAGGGCTGAATCATGGTTAGTGTCAAAAGTGAAAGAAAAGCAAGATCAAGATCCCATTTTGCTTGAATTGAAGGCAAATGTTCATAAGCAAAAAGTATTAGCTTTTGAACAAGGGGGAGATGGTGTTTTGAGATATCAAGGTAGATTGTGTGTACCTATGGTGGATGGACTCCAAGAGAGGATCATGGAGGAAGGTCATAGCTCCAGATATTCCATTCATCCGGGTTCCACAAAGATGTATCGTGATTTGAAAGAAGTGTATTGGTGGAATAGTATGAAGAAGAGCATTGCAGAATTTGTTGTTAAGTGTCCAAATTGCCAACAAATTAAAGTAGAGCACCAAAGGCCCGGTGGTTTGGCGGAGAATATAGAACTTCCAGAATGGAAGTGGGAGATGATTAATATTGATTTCATCACAGGCTTGCCAAGGTCTCGCAAACGGCATGATTCTATTTGGGTGATTGTCGACAGAATGACAAAATCAGCCCATTTTCTGCCGGTAAAGACTACCCATTCAGCAGAAGATTATGCCAGGTTATATATTCAGGAGGTGGTAAGACTTCATGGAGTCCCAGTCTCATATAGAAGTGCACAATTTACTGCACAGTTCTGGAAATCTCTTTAGAAAGGCTTGGGTTCAAAGGTGAACTTAAGTACTGTCTTTTCTTTCATCCTCAGACTGATGGGCAAGCAGAGTGCACTATTCAGACATTAGAAGATATGTTGAGGGCTTGTGTGATTGATTTCAAAGGGAATTGGGATGATCACCTACCTCTCATTAAGTTTGCTTACAACAACAGTTACCACTCTAGCATCCAAATGGCTCCTTATGAAGCTCTTTTTGGAGAAGATGCAGATCTCCTATTGGATGGTTTGAAGTTGGTGAAACAGGGTTGATAGGACCCGATTTAGTTCATCAAGCTATGGAGAAGGTGAAAGTGATTCAAGAGAGGTTGAAAACGGCACAGAGTCGTCAAAAATCCTACACTGATGTTAGGAGAAGGGCGTTAAAGTTCGAAGTAGTTGATTGGGTATATTTGAAAGTTTCACCCATGAAGGCTGTTATGAGGTTTGGTAAGAAGGGTAAGCTTAGTCCCCGGTATAATGGACCTTATCGAATATCCAAAAGGATTGGCAATGTAGCTTATGAGTTAGAGCTACCACAAGAGTTAGCAGCGGTTCATCCGGTATTTCACATCTCTATGTTGAAGAAATGCATGGGCGATCTTCATTGATCATACCAACTGAAAATATTGGGATCAAGGATAGCATATCTTATGAGGAGATTCCTGTTCAGATTCTAGATCGCCAAGTTCGCAAGTTGAGGACTAAGGAAGTAGCATCAGTCAAGGTCCTTTGAAGGAACCAATTTTTTGAAGAAGCTACTTAGAAAGCTGAGGAGGATATGAAGAAGAGATATCCACATCTCTTTGAAACCGAATAAAATGCTAACCAAGGTACTAATTTTCTTCATAGTACTACCTAAATTATGAGTAAGAATATTGTTTGTTTGCATTTACTTGTTTGGTGTTTGAACTTGATGTTATTACCCTTAGCTTAGGAAGAGTAAATCTCATTTGAGGACAAATGTTCCCAAGGGGGAGATATTGTAACATCTCGCAACTAAAAAGAACTAGAAGGAAATTTAAAATCTGGAAAATTGCAAGTAAGTTAAAAATTGAGTTTTTGGTCAACTTCAATCGGCCATAACTCCTAGCTCAGGATGAGTTAAGTGTAGTTCCAAATATGGTTGGAAAGCTCTTCGGATGATCTTTCCAACGCCTCTAAGTTTGTGCGATTCTGAGTTTGTATGAGTGATTTATCCCCTTTGGAAGTTGGGTTGTTGGATTAAGAAAATGTCCAATCCGGAATTTTAAGGGCTATTTTAGTCTTTTCATTTTCCCTCTTATTTTAATCTGTTTTTTGGAGTTTAATATGGGTCAAATTAGATTTTATTCAATTTTAGAATTTGGAATTTCACGCTAGGGCTAAGGAGAAAGGAGAAGAGAAAAGAAGAAGGAGAAAAGGGCAAATTCATCAAGATCGATCAAGGAAGTTGGTGTTTCGCCAAGGATTTGCTTCTATTAGGTATGTGAGGCTCTCTTAACGTTGGGATCGTTCTCCCACGTGCCAAGCATATTTATTTCAGTTTGGATTTGACCTAAAAGCATATGAATATTGATGATCATCATACCTATTCTTGAATTCATATATTGTTCTTGAATTTGACTGAGTTGGCAAGTTTCTGAGTTCGTTACGTCGCATTATAAAGTCGTTTCGAGTTAGGTTCTTAGGTACATTTGATGGGTATATGTATCTAAAAGTAATCTGGAAAAAAAAAAGAACAGAGTTTGGGTGATTTGGGGTTGGAAAACGAAGAAGAAATTTCGTCGGACGAAATTAAGGGGTGGTCGCACGTCATGTGCCTAGTGCCCAGATTTGAATATTTGAGCTTCGCGTCGTGGAGCTGACACGAGGTGTTCTGCCTCAAAAGATGTTTTCGGAACCAAAATTTAATTATGCCTCCGCGTCGCGAAGCCACCTTCAAATCTTGAGTTTCGGTATTTTCTCTTGTTTAGTTATCTAAAATCATTCCTAAACAACATGAGATCTTTCCAATCACAACTATTAATTCTTGAATCCATAATTCAATTCAAGGATCAGTTAAGAGCCAAGTCAAGAGCAGTTAAGATCAAAGTCAAGAGAAGTCAACAGTCAAGTAAGAGAAGTTCATTTCAAGCTTTCATAAGTCTTTTACAAACGTTATAACTTTGTTTTAAGACTTAAGTTTTGAGTTTAGTAAAGAGTAATGTT